TTGGTCGAGAGGAATGAAAACCATCACTTCGAAGTTGGCGTCGGTTGGTGCATCCCGATTGCCTGGCTGGGGTCCTAAGGATGGTGAACACGTTTGGTTGTACACACTCGCTGATATGGCTTGGTGCCGGCCCCAATGGTTTGGTGTTGTGAGTTCCTTTGTCCATCCCCTCCTGCTTAGCATCCCCCTCCAAACATGATCTCACCTGATAGGTATAATGACCTTTTTACGGCAGGCAGCTGTTAGCTCTCCGGAATGATGTGCATCCGTTACTGGGAACTCAGCGGGCGTGCCACCGTTTGTTTTCCTTTTCTTATCTTTTGTATTGCGGCACAATAGCTGAGGTGTTTTCCACCTCCAGCTAACGTATCATGATGATGATGATGATGACATTCAACCACCGGTGCCTTCGCAGTGTGGCGCACATCTGGCGGGAACACCGCATGAGTAACGAGCGTGTTCGACAACTCGTTTACAGCACAGAAAAGGGATCTGAATGCTCAGCACCGTCATTTCACGCACCAGACACCGATGGCTCGGCCACGTGTTGCGCATACCAGCACACGGACTTCCACGACGTGCGTTGTTTGCGCGCCGCGGGTGCTGATGGAAGAAGAGGAGGGGTGGCCAAACGATGACTTGGTCCAGAGGAATGAAGGCCCTGACTTCTGAGCTGGCCTCGGTTGGAACGTCTCGGCTCCCTGGTTGGGGTCCAAAAGACGGTGAACACGTTTGGCTGGATACACTTGCTGACATGGCAAGGAGTGGACGTCAGTGGCGTTCGTGCTGTGAGTTTCTTCGTCCCTCCCCATCCCTTTTAGCCTCCCCCTCCACCTACAATCTCAGTTCATAGTGTAAAACATAATAATATTTCTTTTTGCCTAGTAGCCTACTGACAGCTTACCGGAACGATGCCTATCCGTTGCTGGTAGCTCAGCTGGCGTGCAACTGTTGTATTTGTTTTCTTTTACCTTTATGTATTGCGGCACAGTATCTGAGTTGTTTCCCACCTCTAGCTGACGTGTACGATGAATGAATGAATGAAAGTACGCTTTCTGAAGCTGAGGTTTCAACAACCTTACATGCCCCCCAGGAATGTTACAGCTGCTTTTGTTGCAAATTTCGATCCCACACTGTTTCATCATGTTTGTCTCCGATTGACCTGCACACTGGTTTTCAGCTTCGAAAAGCTGGCGACACCGATATTACTAACTTTTAGTGGGCTGGTGTTTGGACCATAATTGTCGTTAAACCAGAGCCTTCCTTTACTCTCCGCCTATTCTCATAATGTTTGCAGATGAGTCAATCCAAAGACACATGTTATCAGAACTTTCAAACTTTGCTTTCAAGGGCCCCCAAACGGACATCACTATTGTGACGGTTGCTGTTAGCTCACTTTTTAGCCGACTGATGCCGACTGTATATCTTCCTGGGGAAAGCATGGGAGCGATGAAGTTTATCTTTACAGTAGACGATAACTACTCTATCTGTGTGCCGACAAACTCTGCATCTACGCTACTAAATTTTGGTTTCATAAGCTCCACTACGCGACCTCGAATCTAACCCACTATCCTTCCGTCGTTAGCCGAAGGTTAACCACCCTGAAATTTGTCATCGGTTTTGTGGCAGTATAAGAAACTCAAATCCCATTTGTAATATATTGGTACGCGTGCCTGATTTTGAGCATTGCTGTAACTTACCTAACCTTATACAAACCCGCTTCAATGCTTGCACATTGAAAGATCCAACGGTGCATTTGCAATGTCAAAGTAAGCTTCGCGAAAATTCTGCTTTACACTGTCCTCTGGACTTTGACCCTCATTGAATACACTAGCAGTTGTCAACATTGGACTGCGCGGCTGAACTAACACGTGACCTGAAAGCGGTAAGCCCAAACTGCATGTGTTTTGTGTCCACATAGCCAGGGCCCATTCTCCTCAGTGCTTCCATATTCGGTTCCGAATTAGTTATCTCGCATCGCTGCACGCTACTCGTCCCTGTTTCAAACCCGTCTCTTAAGCACGCTTTTCCGTAACCCTGTCATTGACGGGAACTAGTTACTATGACTCCAACAAGATATAATCGCTCGAGACAAGCGAAAGTTAGCGTACCGGCCACTCCGCGAGTAACGCGAGTAAAAAGTAAAGCACAGAGAGGAAAACAAGACACTGCCCCCACAGTTGCCAGCCTCATTGAACAAATGAATGATAAGATTAAATCTCTAGAACTTCAACTAACTGAAATGAAACAAACGCTTGACTATATCGGACCGCTTAAAGACCATATTGCCTCGTTAGATTATATCTGCAACCCATCAGGAAAACTTGATCCGGCTCAAATGAATAGAGTAAGACAGCTTATCTCCTGTATCGCGTCTGAGGCTCATGAACGAACGCGTAGATTAAAAAATGCTATAGTTTTCAATATCCCTGATAAACTTAATTTGGCTAAAGTAAGAGCTACATTGATGAACGCTTGCAACATGACTAACGTCGAATGCAAATGTCTACGACTAAATAAGAAGACACCGAAACGATGTTGCCCCATACTTTTTAAGTTTTCTCTCGAAGAACATGCACACCATTTCATGCAGAGTCAGCTCGCCATAACCCAGCATACTCCATTCAAAGACGTACTGGTTAAACCTGATCGGACACCTTTAGAAAGATCTCCTTCTGATCCTACTCCACGAACACCAAGAGCAGAGACAACATGCAGTCCGACTCTTCAGTTAATAACTCGGGATGATGGTATACTAGATAGAACAACTAGCTGTGTCGAAGTAGACAACGACAATGCATCTCCTGGCGTGGTAACATCAATAGCCTTTGCTTCTGGCTCCGGCACAACGCCCCAGTCAAGATCAGTGAAAAAATCTTTCACCTCTAACACCGAGGCTAGCTTCCAAATGGAATCGGATACCCCCTATATCGCACCTATGGCGAGACCTCAGCCTGGTGAACATTCAGTAAGCAAGGGCCCGAATACCAAGAAAAGAACCAGTCGTAAAAGTCAAGCTACACGCACAAGCGACCTACTAACCAACGGGAACAAAGTGCCGTCACAGACCGACATATCATTCGCGGTAATGACGAGTGCTTACGAAGATTCACCAAATTCACGATCCTCGAATTCTTTCCACGCCACTTGTAACAAAACACCTCAGACCAGAAACACTACTTACCACACTAGTAAGACTGAAACCAGAAGGAATTATCTTCTGGACAAACCCACGCACCGCTATCCAGCATTTGTCAATAATACTCAAAACATTAATGACAGTAGGAAAAACTGGACAATGCTGCCCAGTGCCTCACCTGAGACCTACGCTGGAACCCATACACCACCAGTTTCCTTCGATCATTTTTTAGGAGATGTGGGGATGGCTTCGCAGCCATTCCCAACAATAGCACATCCGGCCGATACCAACTTCATGGCCCAACTCTTCCTACAATTTATTCAGATGACACGGCTAGCTCAGTATCATTCCAACCAGAGCTTTCACCCAGCGCCTCATCATCTTCCTTACTCCAACTTCCGACAGAACTCACAAGGGATGCATTGTCCTTATCTCAGAACGTCGTAGCAGTAGGCACGACTGCTTCATCCCTACACTCTCTTCCTCTGTCCACAGATCTCCATCCCAGCACTCTTGATACTTCCGAACCAAGCAGTGAACTCCTGTCCACTGACCCCGATAATACATCTATAACATTATTTAAGCAAGCACTAGAACTCGCTGATAAAACACATGCCATGCATGTCCTACTTATAAATGCACGTTCCCTCAGGAACAAAATAATTAGCTTAAGAACACTTGTCTCCCTCGCGAACCCACTAGCTATATTGGTCACTGAAACATGGCTAAAGGAGGATACCCCTGAGTCGGTTTACCATATCTCGGGTTACAAAACTTTTATCGGTTGTCGTAAGTCTGGTCTAGGTGGTGGCTGCGCCATCTATGTTCGAAATGCTATTCACGCTTCGGTATCGCCTATCCAAACACAGGGGCGATTCGAAGACTCCGTTTTTATAGACATTATAGTTGATAATCTTCTCATCATTATCGGATGCATCTACCTACCGCCCAATCCTAACCTCGTTGAGATAAGCGCGTTACAGAGCGTTTTATGCCATCTCGCGTGCCAGTCCGCGAATCGCAAGATAGTAGGCGGGGACTTCAACATGCCTGATCTGTCGTGGTCCTCTAACGACGTCCCAAATAAGTTCAAAAGCTTCATCGCCACTGTGCATGTATGTGGATGGACTCAGCATGTCTTATCTCCCACTAGAAAGAATAACATATTAGATTTGATATTTACTATCGGCTTCACTGCAGCTTCCACCGAGATACTGGGACATTTTCCCGGTAGTGATCACAGAGTGATCTCTTTCTCATTCAGTGTCAATGCTCAGTTGTCAAAAACACCCTCATCAAAAACACACATGACTATCAGCTCCTACAAAATCGCTGACTGGGGCCTTTTTGCAAGCTTGATAAGATCGGCGCAGTGGGACACATTCTTCCTCGCTAGCGACCCTCAGACTGCAGCAGATGAGTTATATAACAACATCCATCGGTCAGTAGATGTGTCGATTCCGCGAAAGCATATAAAACTACCTGTCTCTGGAGAAAGGCCTACACAACACAAATTAGCTGTAAAGCTCAAAAAGTTGCTCAAGGCGTATCGTAAATCCAATGACTTCTGTTTCTTAATAAAGCACCAGCAATTGGTTACTATTAAGGAGAATGCCAATCAGGCCATGCTGATTGATAAAGAAAAACAAGCACTCGGTAGCCAAAATAGAAAACAGGAACTATTCAGATTGCTGAAGCGCAAGACCGCTAAACAGAACCTAGATGTTATCTCGCTTATGTCTGCAGATAAATGCTTAGTGAGTGACCCGACTTATACCAGCGAAATGTTCAACAACTACTTTGCTGCCTCGTTTAATGAATGTAGTGATCCTGCGACCCTGGATCTGCAACATCACACGAATGATCAACTCAGCAACATCACATTCAATCTGTGCGCTATCCAAAAGCTCATAAAGTCCACTAAAACCTCCTATTTCACTGGTCCGGACAATCTCCCATCTGCTGTCATAAAATTCGGGGGAGATGACATCCCCTTGCTGCTACTGAATATGTTCACCTTATCTATGAATTCTGGTATCATACCGGCTCAGTGGAAGGAGGCCATAGTGATGCCCCGTCATAAATCAGGTTCACTGTACGACGTAAAAAACTACCGACCGATTAGTCACACATCAGTATTGTCTAAAATGATGGAGCGACATGTAAAGTCGAAAACGCTTGAATTCCTATTAACTCGAAACTTAGTAAACAATTCACAGCATGGATTCCTGAACTCCAGGTCCTGCATCACTTGTCACTTAGAATTTTTAAATCACCTTGTCAGTTCACACGATCGTGGCTTATCGGCAATCGTCATCTATCTCGACATGCAAAAAGCCTTCGATCGCGTACCTCATAGTCGCCTACTAGCTAAGCTCCAAACCTACGGTATAAAGGACCCCTTACTGGCTTGGTTTAGCTCATATCTCTCAGATCGCTCCCAGATAGTACAAATCCAACAACATAAATCTCAACCCAAGGCTGTTACCAGTGGGGTGGTACAAGGCAGTGTTCTTGGTCCATTGCTATTTCTACTTTACGTTAACGACGTCTTCAGCGTAGTTAAATGCGGCACACCCTATCTTTTCGCCGATGACATCAAAATAGTGTACTCCTTCCATCCTACCAACCTCAGCAATACTCTAATGGAAATCCAACTGGACCTCCATGAGCTTGAGGCTTGGTGCAACACATGGAAAATGTCTTTCAACACTGACAAATGTAGCGCGATGTTATACAGGTGCAATGTTAAGCACAATGCTCTGACCCTAGATAGCAAACCACTTACTATCTGTCAGACCATCTGTGACCTAGGGCTTCGCTACTCATATTCCCTTAACTTCTCAGAACAAGCATTTTATGCAACAGCCAGAGCTAAACAACGCATTGCATTGCTATTCAAAAATCTTACTCTACGAGATTCAATTTGTTCAATGTATGAATCATTCGCCCGCCCTTTACTTGAATATTGCTCAATGGTGTATAGCAACTCCAGGAAGCATGATCGTATCGCCATAGAAAAGGTACAAAGAGCGTTTACAAAGCGCCTTATTGGTACGAGCTTAGTGTTACCCTATTCTGAGCGATGCGACCTACTTAAGCTTGACCCAATATGGCTTCGACGCCTAAAAGTAAACTTAGCACTTTTTTTCAATATCCTGCACAAAAATGTCCACACCCCTAGCATTGATCTATCACTCATGAAACCAAATGGATACAATACACGCAATAGAGAAAATTCTGTGATGGTAAGAAGGTCAAAGACAAACATATCAGCAAACTTTTTCCTAAATCGGTACTCCCGTATTTGGAACAAATTGCCGACCGATATTCGTACTAGCACATCTGAGTATAACTTTCGTAGAAAGCTTGACGAATATCTTACAGTCAGCAATGTGATTATGCTCCTGCGCTGCCCTACAACTATTCAACAAACGTATGAACAAGGTCCAGACAACATATAACTGAAAGTTGCAAATGACTGTATCAGTCAGATCAACAAACACCCGTTGATTCCCTGCTTACCCTTCTCTTTTATTGCCCACTCCGGATCTGCCTGCCCGAAAGCTCACCGCTGATTAGTGGCTCCACTGATACATCGATGGGTTGGAGGTCCAGGCTTCTGTTATCCTCTTCATCCCATCTTGGCTCACTATACTTCCCCTTGATTTTACTTGGCTCCACTGCAACCATGTGTCAGTTGAACCACTGGCAACTTGGTTAGCTGGACTCCCAAATCCGGTTAACTATCTCTCCAATCGTAACTTCACTTCCGTTTCACCCGCTGGCTCACCTACCATTCGTTTGTGAAAGCACTGACGCTTTGGTAGGTAAAGCACCCGGATCCTTTCTTTACATCTTCAACCCACCTTGCTCCCCAACACTTAGCTTCGGTTTTCACTTGACCATATCTTGCTGGTGAATCAACCGACACATTGTCAACATCGACATGTTTGCCACTCAGGACTACTGTAACCTCGTAAACATATCACTGGCGTTCTGTTGGACCAATTCCCTGCATAATCAAACTCCTAGCGCAGTTAGCCAAACTACTAAAGGTTCGGCATTCTTGTTCACAGCCCACAACCCACACATCTTAAGTAATCCGCAATCCGTATTGCGCCTCCTAATTGTAAACAACATCTGCAATACAATAATAAGGTAGTTGCTTAAATATTTCCCTTTTTCACTGTGCAGTAATGTGGACTTATTTTTCCCTGTTAGCCAGACCCATACTGCTGTTCCTTATGCTGAGTCCAGAAATTTGGTTGCGAGACCCTCCCCACACTATATTATTCTCGATTCCACACATGTACATAATTCCCTAGGAAGTTTTCGGCCTCCATCGCACTAATACTTACTAATACTTGCTATTTCCCTTCTATTTACGTTGATCCGGACCACAACTCGTTCAACGGTACGATGAGATACTTGCTACCGAAGAAAGTTGGATCTGCATAAGAATAACCTACAACTTGAATCCAATCCCACTCAATACGAATCTCCTCGCATCCGATAAACAATTTCAGTTTCAGAGAAAACTTGTACATAATGATCGGTCCAGGGTCTCTGGAACGTGTCTCACCTTTCTGAGAAATATACCTATTATAATTAAATGTTTTCTGCGACCTTTTTCTGGCCTTGTTGTACCATAACTAATGTTTGGATTCTAACAGCATCCTCTATAATGCCTGCCTATCTGTAGGATGTAACTGCCAAGGGAGAGGGCGATGTGATATACCAGTCTACATGCCCACATCTGAAAAGGGTAACGCTATAGCAGAAAACACACGTAGTCTAACCTTCTTCCGGAAATGAAACATGAGTTGATGAGATTCTCTCTTACAGCCACTAGGTATATGCCACACCCCATCAGCCAGACAATTTGCGTGTTAGATGGTACAAAGTACACCAAACTGCGCAAGTGCCTGGATCGCTAGATAGATCATCCTGGTCTATAATTTAATTGCCCGACCAACCTTATGTTAAATTTGCACTACCATAGTTTGGGGCCCGGTCTGTCCAAATAAGTCCTCCCACTGCAGCGGAGATTTAATGAAAAGCCAACATGGGAAATACCCCAACTCTCTGGGCCCCAACCGTCTCCCTCGGACCTATTTAAAAGTGGAGAAAATGCTGCGATCTGGAAAATGTTCCCACTGATTATGAAGGCATGGATTAATGAGAAACATACCTATTTGCGAGACGCATCTGTACTTGTCCCAATTTACAATAGAGACTCTTTCAAAGAATGGATGACTTTCAAGGGAACATGGTTAGGCATACGTCGTTCCAACTTATTTGTATCAATACCGCTACTTTGGTCCTCCGTTATACTGGACAGCTTAGCTAGAGAATAACAAGGCTGTTTGTCCACATCTTAACGCCGCCACCACACACCGAAAATCGTAGTTGTTCGAACATTCGCACCTCATTTCCGTGGCTTTATATTAGAAGAGATGTTATATCCAACCCTCAAACAACTGCGCAGTCGCACAGGGTAACTTTCGAACTTAAGCACGTTCCTCTCATTATTTTGTTAGTGCCTGCTGTGCACATGTAGGTTAACTTATCTCATAATTCCTGTTCATCCGTGACATTAAGGAGCTCTTCGCCCAGCAGCTTCCACATTCTCCCTAGCGACATATCCATAGAATGGGATTGTGCCAACGACATCGCTTTGCTGGGAGAAGATAAATAAGCCACCCAAAGTATCTTAACCGCTCTCATCCTCAGCACCATCATTAATACACGTTAGCTGAGGGTGAGAAACACACCTCAGCTAATGTGCCGCAATAAAAAAGATAAGATATGAAACAGTTGCGCACCAAAGAATTCACAAAGCAAGTACAATCAGGTTAATATACTCTTATACATTGCACATGAGATCGGAATTGGAGGGGGGAATATAAAGTGGATGGGTGGACAACAAAACTCACAACACATGTGTTAATGGGGCCGGCTCCTCACCATAGCAGCAAGTATGTTCTACCAAACGTGTTCATCATCCTTAGGACCCAACAAGGATCTCGGGATGCACCAACCGATGCCAGTTTGGAAGTGGGGGTTTTCATTTCGCTCAATCAAGTCATCATTTCGCCTCCCCTCCTACTCTGTTGACCTCCCTCTCGGCGCTCAAACAATAAACGTCGCCGGAGTCGCTATGCTGGCGTACGCAACACGTGGCCTAGCCATCGGAGCCTGGTGCGAAATATAATAGGGCTGCGCCGTTCACTCCTTCTGCCTGCACCAAAGACGCGACGCAGAACACTTTCAGATGGCCCGCATTTTAGCTGATCCCACTTAAGACTTGTCTTCAAGATTAGCAAGTGGCTGTTGTTGTGATCACCACTGCCATTGACAACCTAGAGAAAGTGCCTAGATCTAATTAACGTAATGATTAACTGACGGTAAGCGAAGTTTTCGAGGGGAAATTTGACGACTAATTGTTAATAAGTATTTTGCTTGCATTTATTAACGTGACACATTTGTAGCATCCTTTAATACTCAGTTGTAAGCTAAAAAAGCACAGTGTACGGGGTCACTACCAGTGCAGTCCTACTGTATCACGTCAAGTTCTGGATCTACTGTCGGACCATTGCAAACGATTATCTCTATGTGACAGCAGCAGTTTGCTAAAAATAAAAAAGTCAAATGCCCAGTAGTCAAGGAGAATAGACTATATTTCTATATTAATATTCTCTAACATTGTTTGCATTGCATCTGTGACGAGAACCTCATGCTAACACATTACCTTCGGCAAGCATTCATTGCACTTTATAGAAGCGATTGGAACGTTTCGCTGTGGAAAAACCATGACATGGAAAAGGGCATGCAAAATATCATGCTTTGTCTAGCACCACACATAACTGCCTTTCGCATGCCCTGGGGACCATGTAAACCCGTTTCCCATCGGTCAACAGTGTGGATACTATGGTTCGAAAATAAACAGCATTGTTAATGCTGTCCTCCTTTTTGATTTTCTCAACTGTTCAGTTTATACGAAACGGAATTTGATCAAAACGGTACATGTTGATTAGTGAAAGTCATTGATGCCACTTGAGTTAAGCTTCATTTCCCCTTCGTTGATTGACACTCCCTCCCTAATGTACCGCTGTGGTTCAGATAGCACCATCATATGTTTATATATATATATATATATATATATATATATATATATACATATACTAATGCATTTCTTTCTCATATAAATGTCTACATGTACTCTCTTCTATAAACTTGCACATGTCGCTTAAGCCAATTGTTGTTAGTTCCGATAACATGTTCATGTTCCTAGCATTTCCGTAAAATATAATTACTGACCTCGTGAACTTATCTCGGAGGCTTTTGTAAGGGACTTATTTTAAATGCTCATTAATTTAAGATTTATGTCACCGTTTCCTTATGCATTATGATTTATTTTCTTTGTTATCTTTCTCTCAAGTGAGTGGTTGTTGCTTGGCATCCCCGATGTGGATGCGCTTGATGTGTATGTTGACAAGGTGCCTACCTGTCTATAACCCACTACTTCGTCCATACTGACTCCAGGAGACAGTTGGTCGTTGCTGGAGTGGACAGAGTGCACGGTCCTTGTGACCGTGTTAGGATCAAATAGTGGTTCCATGTACTCAGTGTGTAGCGGACTACGGTTCAGCCACCGCCTTGCATGCGTTTGATTCCCAAATAGAGCGGGCTTGTGATTGTCTGTGAAGGAGTGTGGGTCGGCTCCGTTGATGAAACGTGGCTCCCATCCACATGCCACCTGGTCTTATTATTCGGGACTACACTGCATATGGGGTGTGTGGTTGGAGCAGTGGGTGGTGCAGCACAAGCCACTCTATAGTTCCTCTGTAGGCGCAGGCGTCCTGTGGCTGGCCACAGTGACAGGCAAATCCGAAACCGGATGCCGCCTACTATATATATATATATATATATATATATATATATATATATATATATATATATACGAGAGAGCCTATGGTGCGCTGAGGCTGGTGGTGGCTAGATCCTGACAGATGGTCTACCCACTGCTGCTACTGTTGCGCCATAGTCTCATGTCCTGGGCGCCTCCACGTGGCGACCGCTGGGTGGGAGTTGGGTTTCGCCCTTCTCCCTGCTAAGATCCAGGACACCAATCCGCATGAGTCAGCTAACTGACCATGTGCTAGACCCGCTGCCTATCGGGTGTTCATATAATCGAAGGCTTTGGCTGAGGACCCGAGTCGTTCTCCTGTCAGGATTGGGCGCCCTGGCAGTATCCTAGTCCATCCTCTCCGGAGGTTAGGAAATGGTCGATGGTCCACTTCCCGTAAAACCTAGCCATGGGAGACAACAGGTTACGGGTGATATTCTCACTGCTCGATTGGCGTAGAGCACGAGTGCCACGCATTGTCTCTGACGGTGGGAGGACACCTCCGGGTGTTCAATGGTTTGCTACTGCCCGCCTCAAGCCAGGCAGCCCCTGGTCAAATTGGTGCAAACCCGCCAAAAACCCACCTGCGTCTGGCCGTGGTCGCAGGTGCGTATCCAATTACGGTCGCAAAACATATGATAACTGTTCCAGAACCTCAAAGGCTGCGTGTGACGGCCGTCAAGCAGATCCCCATCTGTCTCTGCAATCACATTCCCGAGCTGGATCTGCTCTCCACTGCCTTGTGGGGCAGGCTATTGAGCCAAAGGCTCCGGGCGGAGTCCCTCAAGCAAACCTCCAAACCACCCACTGCCTTGTGGGTCAGGCTATTGAGCCAAAGGCTCCGGGTGGAGTCACCCAAGCAAACCTCCGAAGCACAACGACCACATCGCTTGCGATTGCCCACCAATGCAATCGTATGCCTGCGCGAAAAGCACTCAGCTTCGGGTGCTGGAGCGTGCGCACACTACTGGACCGGAACTCCAGCGAGCGCCCGGAGCGACGCACTGCACTGGTCGCAATGGAGCTTGCGCGCTACCACATCGATATTGCGGCGCTCAGTGAAACTCGGCTCGCTGAGCAAGGTAAGTTACATGAAGCAAGTGCTGGCTACACATTCTACTGGGTGGGGAACGCCGCCGCCTCAGACCCACGTGAACATGGAGTCGGATTTGCAATATCCGATCGCCTCCATGGCCAGCTCGTGGGTGAACCAACGGGCATCAGCGCGCGACTGATGACTGTTCGCCTACGACTCGGAAGAGGTAAGTTTGCTACTTTTATAAGCACGTACGTTCAGACCATGTGTTATCATGATGACACGTGTGATCAGTTCTACACTGAGCTATCCTCCGTGATACGGTCTGTGCCGAGGAGTGACCGACTATTTCTGCTAGGTGAGTTCAACGCGCGCGTTGGGCGTGATGCATCAGCGTGGACAGATGTTATCGGTTCGCATGGCATTGGTTCAGCGAATGCGAACGATGACAGGCTGCTCTCACTGTGTGCCACTCACGGGCCTGACGATCACGAACACTCGGTTCGCACTGAGTGCGAGTGATATAGCAACTTGAACGCACCCACGGAGTGGTCACACTCACCTGCTCGACTATGTCATCGTACGTCAGCGTGATATGCATGAAGTGCGCATGACACGCGTACTGCGTGGAGCTGAGTGTGGCACTGATCACAAATTGGT